CCAAGCAGGAAACCCGCCACATAGTCCTCCAGGGGCCCAGAAAGCCAAACCCTGTGACAAACTTAAAAACAAGACGTGAAAAACTCTCACAATAGAACGTTATGAAGGAAAAACTTTAAGCCAAACTTTTTTCTTCTTTCAAAAATTATCCAAGGACTACACCATTTATTGTAATTAAAAAAAATCAGAGTACAGATAAGCCATAAAAGGACAATTCTCCATAATCTCAGCCTCAGTGGTAACTACTGTGAACAATTTACTGCACTCTATCAGGCCACTCCAAGGGAAGAAATCGACTTTCTTACATAAATGTTACCTGTAACTTGTCTATCACTTCAGAATATATTGTGAACATTTTCATACATACATAGAGCTGTATGGATGTGTTTACAGTTGCCCTAACTTCAAGGTCGGCAGTTCAAACCCACGAGCCCCTCTGCTTGAGAGCGACGGGGCCGTCTGCTCCCAGGAAGCGTTCCAGTTTTGGAAGGCCCATGAAGGGTCTCTATCAGTCAGAACGGACTCGATGGTGGTGGGTGTGTGCTTTGGTTTTGCAGAGGATTTAATCAAATGGCAGCGAGAATGGTTCAGAGCCCAGCTACTGAAAGGCTGGCTGTTGGAACCGGGCTGAGAGTGTCTCCCAAGGCAGGCGTGGGGATTTGCTCCAGAGGTGCTGTGGCTGTGGGACAGGAGGAAGTTGCCCTGTGATGTTGGAGAAACTGAACTGGTGCAGCTACAAGCCAAGGCACGCGGAAGATCACCAGCCTCCACTAGACACGAAGAGAACACACAGCATGGGGCGGATTCTCCCTCAAACACCCCAGGCGTCAGCACCGTCGACTCTCTGGGTTTGGATGCTTAGCTTTCTAGACCGTGAGGACCCGACCATTCATTTCTGCTTTTTTGAGAAACCCACTAAACTAGCTCAAGTGAGCAGGGAGCCTCTTGCAGAAGTGACGTGCAGGAGCTATGGGATGGAGCTTCCAGGGAACCAGGACGCATGGGGCAGCTCTCTAGGGTTCATCTGCTCCACGGACGCTACGCCGGTGCGATCCTTTGGCTTGGATGAGGCTAAATGTGGCCACCGGCCCAACTCGACATCACTCTTTAGCTGCGGCCCACGGCGGTCTTTATGATCCAAGAAAAGCCAAGTAACTGGTTGAGAATGGTGCCTCTTTGCTGCCAGCCAGGCTAGCTGGGCACACCTTGTTAGCCAACTCCGGTTCTCTTAGACTTTGGGAAGGGAGGCCCTGCCTGGCTCTGCTGCTCTGAAACAGGGGCCACCTGTGGAAATCTTCCATGAACATTGGAAGTGCAGGCTTTCTCTGAGGTCCAAAGCACAGACACAGATCCACACTTAGTTCAGAATTTGAAAAATGGCAGGCTTGTCGGTTAAGGCTTAGTGACTCCACAGAACAGAATAGAATCACCTGCAGGGTTTTCCCCAGGCTGCCATCACTAAAGAAGCAGAATGCCACCTTGTTCTCTCCTGGAGAGCCAGGTGGGCTGAACCAATAACCTGTCCGTTAGCAGCTGAGCACATTAGCACCATACCAGACTCATAGCGCCCCTGCACGGGGTTGCCGAGATGGCGGAGCTTCCTGAGAGCTGAGAGCCACCTCCTCGTGGGCACACCTTGTAGTCAGCAGTCCAGCCTTTAGCCCCCCCGCCCCGCCTCGACCCAAACCCAAACGTGCCGCCACGACTTGGTTTCCACATCAGGTTCTCCCAAGGACATCTTCCGGGCGCAAAGCGCCTCGTCAGTCTCCTGCAGAGTTGTCTGATCTGCCGGCCCCCTTGGGGTTCCCAGCCCAGTGCCCAACTCACCGCAGCACCATAAACCAAATACAGCGAACTCAAGCCAGCGACTCAATGCCGACTCACAGCGCCCCTAGAGGACAGGGCAGAACTGCCCGGCCTAGGACTCCGCAAAGGAGCAAAAGCCTGTCTCTCTCCCTCGGAGTGGCCAGTGGTTTCAAACTGCCGCCTGGTGGTTAGCAGCCAACTTGGAACCACTGTGCCACCAAGGTGCCCTTAGAGCAGTGCACGGGGCCAGCTCCTGACGGCTGCAGGGCTCCTGGGAGGCGAGGTGGGAGATGGTGTTGGTGCCGCCGAATGAAGGGAGAGAGGGTGTCCCTGAAGGAAGCAGCCTCTACCTTTGTCCACCCGTCCTGGAAGGACTGAGCCTGAGGAAGAGGGGAGGTTTGGAACCGAGGCTGGTCTGAGGTGCCTTAGACTAAGCAAAGGCAAGCGCAGGCCTGGGGGAAGGTGCCCCCTGGCGACACGGGGATGCTACTCAGGGCAGACCCAGCCCAACGTTGAGCTTCTGTCAACTCGACCATGCTGTGGCTCCTGTCAAGCCTTGTCCACCTGACAAGCCAGAACCATCTGGAATAGCAGCAACAGCCCACCCCCACCCCGCCACCCCAGCTGTGTTGCGGGGAGCGGAAAAGTTGTATGTCCAGCCCCAGCCACAGGGCAATGGGAGCCCAGGGCCTGAGGCCAGCGAGACTTGGGACTGCTGAGGTAGCCCCACCAGAAGGTGGCCGAAGGACAGCAGACAGGCCTGCAAGGGCCCACTGACTCTCCTCTGAGGGTCCACCTTCCACACCCCTCAGAGAACAGGTATGTATAAACGTGTGGGGTTGTTAAAGGCACCTGTATAAGTTAGTATTCACAATCTAATATTTAAATAAACCTGGCTAAAACAGAGCCTCCCCTCGTTATTGTTTACCCAATTCTTTTTTGTTCTGTGGTTTCTGGTGGGATTTTGTACAGAAAGGTGAATATACTTATAGATTCTACTATCTGTATAGTACAACCTGCAAAAGGCTGGAAACGGAGTACCCGTCGGCAAAGGGAAGCTGCAGTGTTTCCCGGGCAGTGACAGGGAAGCCAGAAGACAGCACATCGGAAGCAGGGCCTTCCTCTGGAGGCGTCCATCGAGTGCTGGTTCTCGTGGGCCACTCTGGGTGGGTTTCGAGGCTGCACACCTTCATGGAGGCAGACAGCCTCATCTTTCTCCTGAGGAGCACCTGGTCGGCTTCAACCCATGAACCTGTGGTTAGCTGCCTGCCAAACCCAGTGTCGAGAAAGCGTGTTCTTTTGTGTGTGTGCGTGTGCACACATATAACTACATTATTTATCCACAGGAAATATTAATAAACTGATTTGTCTAACCTTCATTTGCCTGCTGCTGAGTGACCCTGGCTTTTGTTTCTGTTTGTATCAGCTTGCTATACTTGTGGCCGGTCTTTCCATTTTACCTTTCTGTTGTTTTTAACGGGTTGTTTTGATGTCTGTTCCCACTAATGGGCGGGCTTCCTGCCGCACACGGGCCGTCTTGCCCGGCCGGGCTCACGGTGACGGCCTGGGGCTCACGCAGTCATGGTGGCGTGGGGTGCACGTTGCTCAGAGGTCCTGAGATGACAACCTGGAAACTCAGGGTCTTCCCTCCCCAGTGCCTCGAACCCGTTCAGGCAGGTTGGCTAGGAAACACTGGCTGACTGCTCAGGAATGCGACCCGGGGAGGACCGGTGGTGGTCAGCCGCCCAGCTTGCAAAGGTCAGAGAATCCAAAAGAGGCTGGGGCTGGGACATAGTTCCCAGCCCACTTCAGCCCACTTCTCGGAGGTCGGGACAGGGTAACCACAGCCACCCTAGCTGCTAGAGGGGCTTGGGAACGTGAGCATCCCGAAAAGGGGGAATGGGAATACGGGAAATGACTTCAGTCCCTCCTGACTTCCGGCACGGGCTGGTAGCAGGGACTGCTTTTCCTAAGAGTGTGCAGACCACCGAGTCTGGGAGCAGGGGGAAGGGGAGCACATAGGAAAGGGCCTGAGTTTGGGACAGCCTAGGTCTTGAGTCGTCTGGATGAAGCCCCGCCAAACACTGCAGGTGGCTTGTAAGCGGCTGAGGCCGCAGCCATGGGCTCGGCCTCTGGACAGAGCTGGTGGAGCTGGGTGAACACTTCTGGTGTGAGTCTATGCTGGCCCCTTGCAAACAACGAGGTCTGGCAGGATGAACCGCTCCTTCAGTTTTCC